ATGTTGCTGCCATGTAGGGTGCATGCTGTGGTCATTTATTCTACAAGCTAGTAAATGGTTTATAACTCACATTGATATCCTTACGTCTGGATTAACCATACTGCTCTACATTTGTCATTGTCTTAATAGACTGTATAGAAAGCTGCATCAACAAAACCAAAAGCCATTCATGAAACCATTGTATCCACCTGTGCTACTCAAATATCAAATGTGCTTATTATTGTTAGCATGAAGTCCAAGCCTTCAGTTTGGTGTTTATGCACTGCTTCATCATTTATGATTTACATTTGTTCTGATGTTCTTGTAGCAAATCTTGAATATTTGCTGTTTTAAAAGTAAACATCAGGTAAAAGTTTGAAATATGGGATATATTTCTGATGTATAGTCGTGCAGCTTTAGTTTGCTTATGCAGCAATTTTACATGTGAAAACTCCTTATTAATACCAACAAATAATACATCTGAACATCATCTTTAAAAAAAAATGTTTCTAATGTTTCTTGCATTCAGTTTTATGTGTACTATATACTTGTGTTTTCTGTCATTTTTCTGTCTAGTATGTGTGTATCTCTGTGTGTAATGCTGCTGACAACAATGTGAATTTCTCCACTGTGAGATAAATAAAGGCATATCTTAGCTTAGCTCAGTGTTTTAATTGCTTTTCCATATACTTGTCAATCTAACTAGACATTCCACAGTCCGTTGTAGTAGATATTTAAAACCATTTCCTAATGTCAGATATTTTTACTTTGAGAAGTTATGTGACCCATGGATCATGTAAAACCTTAGAAATGAAATATTGTCAAATGAAGCAAAACTTTGGTGAAAGCTGTTCTACTCAGTGGACACTTTGTTAGTAAAACCTGTATGCCTGTAAATTCATGTAATTGTCTCATCAAACATGAGGCAGTTGTGGAATCTGCTCTCGTGCTCTAAGCCCCTCCCACCAGATGAGCATGTGCGTCAAACAGTCAAGCTAAAATTCAACATTATTTTGTGGCTTTATCGTACCTGATCTGGGGGAGGATTTCTGTGCCAAAATACAGCCAGAGCACTGAAGTAACAAAATGCTGAAAGGTCAGTATGGTTGTCTTGTCAACTGCAGCTTTAAGATCAGAGGAGCTCTCTTCAAGTAGTACACCTACTTAAGTGTACAGTTAATGTATAATCCATCCATCTATTTTCTATGCACCACTTAAGCCTCACTAGGGTCATGGGGGGCTGGAGTCTATCCCAGCTGACTCAGGGTGAAGGCAGGGGACACCCTGGACAGGTCACCAGTCTATCACAGGGCTACACTTAGAGACAGACAACCAAGCACACTCACATTCACACACAGGGACAATTTAGAATCACCAATTAACCTCAACATGTTTTTGGACCTTGTGGGAGGAAGCTGGAGAACCTGGAGAGAACCCATGAGGAGAACATGGAGACTCCATGCAGAAAGACCGGCGATCTTCTTGCTGCGAGGCAACAGTGCTACCCACTGCTCCACCTTGCAGCCCGACATGTATAATACAATACAAGAAGTACATAACATGACTTTATTTGCTTAGATGGCCCACCTCAATTAAAGCTGAGCCAAGAGTGACAGGTAGTTTTAATATTTTGC